GTGTATGTACATCTGTGTACATGTATAGTCGGGCATATTCAAGCTCTCATCAGCTGTTCGACTGTTGGGCATGATGTCAAATTGATATCTACATATGTACATATGTACATATGTATGTATCGATATTAGTTTGACTGTCGTTTTCGTTGACCTTGACATGACCTTTTCAAATAGCTACCCTATCAGCTGGGCTGTCCGCTTAGTGCGTGTTGTTCATGTCTCTTTTGGTCTGGCCATAAAAGCTGTCTGGTTCTTATCGGCGGTGTTGCTTCGTTTATGCTATGCCCATACACACACACACACCCATGCACACACAAGCATGCACACACAAGCATGCACACACAAGCATGCACACAATTGTTAAGTACATGCAGTGTTTTCTCGATATCTGCCTATGAAGGTTATACATAAACCACTTGAGCCGAACAATTCGTATTTAGCGACCGCTTTATCGCGCTCTCCCTCTATCGTTCTCTCTCTCTCTCTCTCTCTGCCGCCCACTGTTCTGTTGGCTTAAGTTTTCGCCGTACGCCTTTATTTACACACATTCTCTCTGAAAGCTACCAGCTACCAGCTGATTGAGTGCTATCTGATTAAAGCTCATAGAAGATAACTTACCTCGGCCGTGGAGGAGGCGGTGGCGGCAAACGTGGGCCGTGTCTGGATCTGCATGCGTGTCTTGACCACATCGAGTGGCTGCATTATGCACACTTCCAGGAAACCGGCGGAGCCGCCGGCCATTACCTGGAAGGCAGCTTTGCGCGCCTGAGATATGCTGGGTCTCTCCTCGCTCTGGGTGCCCATTTCGTTGCCTTTTTTGATCAGTTTTTAATTTGAAAATCTGCCAAGATTAAACCAAAACTTTATTATCAGACACATCCATAAATGTGCCAAAAATTTCTATGGGTGTTGGCTCAGAAAAGCAACCAAGAGCAAAAACTAAAGAACTCTAAACACCGATAATTTGTGATTCGAAAAGTCTAAGGCAATGCTCACTTTGTCGCTAGATGTTCGCTCCGATAGTCACGACAACTAGTTCCACGCTCTCGAACAGACAACAGCAACAACAACAACCACAACAATAATAACAGTAACAACAACAAAATACCAAACAACAAATTGAATTTGAGAGCAATCAATGGACCCAAACTGTAGCCGCCGCGCGCCACGACAACTCAATTCGCACTGAACCCGAGCAGGCAAATTGAATTCTGAACGGCGCCGCGGCGAAAATGGCCAGTCCCAGGGCTGGAGTCGGGTAGTCGGGGCAGTCGGACGCAGACGCGATACGAACCGTTGGACGTGGCCGAGCTTTCAATCACCCAGCTGGCGGCGTACTGGAAGAGCTTCTAGCTGCTGCCCATAACTACCGTTTTACACACTGCACCCGCTCCGATCGCGCAAAAAGCTTTCAGCGATCGACGTCGACGACGACGACGTCATCCCATCAGGCATCTCTTTGTACTGATTTGGTTGTTGGTTGCTCTCACACTGAGAGCGGGATTCCAGCCGCAATTTCACGTGCGTGGGGGTGTGTTATGAACGTTATGGATTGGATTGGTACATAATTAATGTACTGATTGATATGTCCAGATTTGGTTTGGATAGCTGCTGCTCAAACTGCAGAGGAAAATATATAAAAGGCTTATCAGTATTCCGGAAAGAAAGCGGACTAGGGTAACTGCATGTGCATAAAGTGATTATAGAATGATAAGATACCTCTGGTATATACAGCTCGCTCCTCTCTATCGCTCCCCCTTAACACTCAACTTATCTTCCCTCTACCTCGTAGTAAAGAATTCACATACTGCTATAAGAAAAGCTGTTTACCCGATTACCTTTGAAGTAATGCAAGCCTCATGTATGTATATGTATGGGTATATGGTTGATAACTGTAAACGTAGGGGATTAAACATATTACCGAACTATATGTACATATGTAAGAATAATGAGAAATATTCAATATATATTGTAAATAATAGAAATAGTGAAAATAATGAAATAATATTATTAATAATAATAATAATAATAACAATAATAATAATAATAATAATAATAATAATAATAATAATAATAATAATAATAATAATAATAATAATAATAATAATAATAATTATAATAATAATAATAATAATAATAATAATAATAATAATAATAATGATAATAATAATAGTAGCAATAACAATAATAATAATAATAATTACACATTGTACACTCAAAATTCTGTCCAGCTGTGTAAATTCCAGCCTAGGTTGAGCTCCTTGAAGCTTCTTAAGTTTTTGAATGATCGGCAACATCATGAGTTTTCACACCTGAACAAGACATGCGCCTAACGCATTCATTAGATACTCTTACCTCTAGGGCAAATGTCATTAGGCGGAGTCCACAAATCATGTCCGTGCCAACTGGTGGGCTGTATCGTACAGGTGTCTGCATTTACGACACAAGAAAGCAAGACAAACGAATCATTTGACATTTGTATATGTATCTGTATCTGAATCTGTATCTGTATCTGTCAGGTCGCAAGTGTATCTGACAGATGCATCTGCTGATCTTTGCGTTGGCTCTTGATTAGTTTATTGTTTATTGTTTATTATTCATAGTGCGCCGTATGCGGCACATCAATCAGATAACTGATGGTATGAAGCAGAATAAGAAGAAGAGCTGCGGCATATGAGTGGCAACATAAAGATATACACATTTATATCCATATGTATATATATATATGAGTGGATTGGGTCGCTAAGTGAGTGCCGTGTGTGTATCTGTGGCATCTGAAGTATCTGTGAGATAGATTGAGGACAACTTTCATTTGCATAAAATGCATTCTATAACAAATTGACAGAACAAATTGTTGGTGTCAAAAATGCGATGCGCTTGACTGAAATCGCCCCTCTTCCTTCTCCGCTCTCATAGATGCTTTATGATTTACATGGCATGCCTTTCATGCTGCTCTGAGTGTGTGTGCACGTGCATTTGTTTTACGTCTGTCCAAATATTTCGAGCTGTTAATTATAGGCACGAGTTAGCGTGAGTGATAGACAGATAGATAGATAGATAGTTAGACAGATAGACAGATATATAGATAGATGGATAGAAAGATTGTGTAGAATTTCAGATAGGTTTTGAAGCTCCTTTACAAACTGACATTGGAGCTCAATAATCTCAATGTTCTGGGCGAATTTAAAATGCATTAGAGACCATTAAAAGCTCATAAAGCAAAGGGACATGCCCTCCAATTTGATCTAATTATGTTATAAAGTCACGCAATTGAGCAAGACAGCTGGATAAGGGAAAGACGGAGCCCAATCGAAATGATATACTAGTAATATCTTAGGTATAAATTGCCGCCTAAAGATAGCACTCAATAATCGATATGAATGAATGGATATACTTTGAAAATCGTTTTCAATTCTTTCACGCAGCGACTTCTGCTCTTGGTTGGGGAACGCACCTCCAAAGTCCAAACCGGCATCCGAATTCGAGTTCGAGCTCGAGTCCGGGACTAAGTCAGGCAATACCGGAGGCGGCGGTCAAAGGCAATCTAGGAAAATGATTTTATTTTTTTGTAATTAGCTAGCGGAACAGACAACAACAGCAAGAGGCAGAAGAGCAGGCACCAGCAGATAGCGCCGATTGATCGATCAAAGCTGCAGATACAGAGGCTAATAAATCATTTTTCCATTCTCATTTCCCATTTTCCCCCCTAAAGTGAGAACTCACGACCGCACCGCCCGTGGTCGTCCAATTGTCTGTCAAAGGCTATTAACCCCATTTTGGCGGGGCCGTTCCACTTGTTCCACTCCGCTGTGGTCATGTTAGCTTGTCAGTTTTCTCGGCCACCCTCTCACTCACTCTCTCTCTCTCTCTCTCAGTCGGTCTGCCTGTTTGTCTTGAGAAATACTTGTAAGTTGCCCAAATTGTTTTTCCAAACATCGCGCACTAAAAATGTAGAAGCGCAGAGCCATATGTGAAACAAAAGACCAAGAACTTAGAGCCAGACACTTTGCTTTTCGGCTCGGAGCTGTTGGTCGCCATCTCGCAGCCGTCAACGAGCCTAAAGAATTCCCATCTAAACTGATGCCGCATGCTGCATGCCGCATGCCGCATCTGGCAACTGCCATGTTTTGATCGTCCAACTCAGGCGTTGCAGCCAAAATATTGTAGCATGTCGGAGTATCAATTGGAAGCCCAAGAACACGCCGTGGCCACCGCAACCATAAGAAAGCAAATCAGTTAGAGTGTTTTGATTAATGTCAGTTTTGACAGCTGCCCATATGAAGGCCCCCAGCTCTGGGCCATGCCCAGGAATAACTGCATTCGGTCCCACTGGAGGCTCCATTAGCAGCCAGTGATCAGGCAGCTGAGCAATCGAATTGAGCCAGTGATTGGTAACTAATAAAAAACCTGAAGATGAGCTTCAAAATTGGTAACCAATCTATACTATCTGGATAAACACGGGCTAATCGCAAGAGCTGAGTTCACATTAGTTCTTAAACCGATTTTTGTGCCAAATTCACCGACAAGAGTGGAAAATGGGTGAATTAATTCTTTATTGCTTGTCACTCGATCGCTGTTAGATTCATTGTATCTGAATAATCCCTTTAATCGAGGTTTTATGGAAGTAAAACTAGATTGTTTTCAAGCCCATGGTAAGAAAATTGGTGGACAGCACGAGTTCCGGCAGGGTTAGGGCAATTAATAATGGAAGATCTTTAAAAAGCAAAACCTTAAAGACTTTGAGGCGAATCGAGTGACAATGTTGGGCGAGGCATAAACATGACCTAGAACCACTTGAGCCACCGGCTTTTAAGTGGCACAGCCCACTGAACTGTGCCGACCCGTTAATAACAAGTTGGGCGATATTTGCGGGCCATGTCAAACGAAAGTACGAGTTGGTTAGCCAAGACCCAAGCCCACGACAATGAGACAGTATTTGGCCTATAAAGACGCCCGTTGGCGCCGCTTTTTTGCCATTTATTTGGACAACGCGTACGCGAATGGAGGCGCTAAGCGGTTGGACTTTGGCGCTGTTGCGCCTGCTGAGCGCTCTGCACTGGTCCTGGACATGGTCGCCAGCGCGCACGGAGCACCCGCTAGCCAACAGCTATTTGAATGCGGCCCAAAGACCGCTGTGGATACTCGAGGATGAACTGATGAAGCGCCAGCGTGCGGACAGGCAGGAGGCGGACTATACCACAAACACGCGTGCCCCAACCTTGCGAAGAAGTGCACGTACACACAGCCGGCAGGAACGGCAGGAACAGCTGGAGCAACAGCATCTGCCCACAGCCATAACAATACGCGTGCGACCGGACTCGGAGTCTGATACGTCGCGGCTGGTGGCACCACCGCTGGCTGCACCACTTACACAGCGACGCTTTTTACTGCCGCATCGCTTGCAACTACCGAGCCATTACATTCAGCAGCTGGGTGGGACGCCGTCTAAGCCCAGGTTGGCGCAGCGCCGGCGCCAGCCGCAGTCGCTGCCCATTTTTGACAGTGCACCCGGAGACAATGCGCTGCCCACTGCCAGCTATCCGATCTTTGTCTACAATGGCACCAGGGGTGAGCTGCTAATCAACACCATGCTGAGCGCCCAGCGCTATCCTATGCAGGAGCCGGTGCCCGGCCAGGTGCTCTATCCGCCCTCCACGCCCATGTTCCGACCTAAGCCCATTGTGAAGCGCTTAAAATTGCCCGGTCAGCGGGAGCTGCTCAATTTGACATTGATTCCCTTCTACGCCCACGAGGCTATCACCGTAATGTCCACATTTGAGACAACAACAGAAGCATACATGGCAGATGCTGCTCCAGATCCAGCAGCTGCTCCAGCAACTGCAACGGCAGCTGAGCCCCTGGCACTGACCACCCCCATGCCGACGCCCTATGAAACGCAGCTGCCGCGGAGCAAGCGCAAGAGGAAGTCCAAAAAGGCGAAGCAGTACAGCGCCTATCGTTCGCCCCAGGAAGTGGTGCAGTGGCAGCCACCGCTGCGTAGCTCGCCAGCACTGGACCCACCCGACAATCATCGCCACTACGTGATGCCAACCACCGAAAGGACGGACAGAGCAGTACAGGAGCAGCTGGAGCAGTTGGAGCTGCTGGATGCTGAGCTTGAGGAGCCCAGCCAGGAGCTGCAACTGGAACAGCAGCTGCCAGCACAGCTCGAGCAGACCACTAGCAGCAGCAGCAGTAGCAGCAGCAGCAGTAGTTCTCCTTCTTCATTTCAGATCATCTATGTGGACGAGAGCATGGAAGCACCTCACGATTCGCTGGCCAGCACCACAGAAGCTCCACCGCTGCAGCGCCAGAGCTCCCGTTATGCCTTGAAGCGTGAGTACTACGCGTTTCCTGTCTACACGCTGGGTAAGCTGCTGCAGAGTCCCAAGCCTGTCCAGGCAAGCCACAGAGCACGAGACATAGAGATCGATTGCTCGGGTGGTTCCAAGGAGCATGGTGACAATACCTGGTTCATTTTGAATTCACGGTAAGCTCGCTCTGTAAACTCATCAACTCAGACGCTTGTCACATATTTCCTTCTAATTTGCAGCTACAGGGGACCACATCGCAATGGTCAGAAGGGGAGCAAGGAGCACACCAAGTATTATACATCCAAGTATGTACAAGGCCGTGCTCCTCGGTAGCAGCACAAGCTGCTGGATGCTGTGACTCGTCTGAGCCGGGGCAACGTCTCTATTGTGATCTTCAATATGATAATAAAATACAAATATTTTTGTTTGGTAGATATAAGTGATCTATGATTATATAATATATTTTTAAGCAAAATACAAATATATATATTAATTAATATTTTTTGTTTAGACATATGGTAAATGAACTGCTGACATTGTATTAAATTTTCCTATTGATGATCATAATAGTCTCATACCTGGCTTTTACTGCATGGTTGGTTTTTTTAATCAGATACTTATAATTGACCATTTGTTGATCTTAATTCGAATATGATCTTTTTGTATTTTTAAACTTTTTTGGTTGATCTTTTATCTTTTCCTTTATTAAAGGGTCGACTGATCTTAGAACAACTTTACTCATCGATCTTGCAGTCTGTTTGATAAGAAGTAACGATAATGTTCATAATTAAAATCGTTCATCTTTTAAAGATTAAAGATCATTTCTTGATCGGCTGTTTAAAATATGATCTTCTTTATAAAATGTTTTGCTAAGAGATACAAGAAATATATAATTATGGGATGATCCTTTTTGATTAGAAATAAATGATGATGCCTTGATCAGTTTATCTTCTACCAAATTTAGACACTGATCTTTTTTTGTGCTCATTAAAGCTCATAACACGCTCATCTCAATTAGCTTTTTCCAAATTATTCTGAACTGCTCTTAACAGATCATATCATGATGACCCGAATGACCTATTAAATACGTATTCAAACACCTTTCCTCCTAATGGCTCAGCGCTATCATTAAAACTGTACTTCATTAACACCTCTATAGGCCCGTACCTATGCCTATGCATATGCAAGTGTCTGCTGGCCCTTGGGTAAAATACCTCGTATAATACTCCGAATGCCATTGAAGAGGTCTACTAACCATAAAAAATGGCAATAAATTCCTGCAGACACAAAGACGACGCTTTTCTGCCCGAAGGTTCGGCTAGAAAGCTGTCATAAAATTCAGTTTTAATGATCGAACAACTCAATCGAAAGCGATGGAACCAATTGTTGGCCTATATTGGCCTTTGACATTACATAAGAAAGTCATGTGGGATGGGAAATGGGATCTGGAGGGGGCTAGAGGAGCTCGATGGGCTGCGTGCAAAAACAATCACAAGTGGCCCAAACTGAAGATTCTTAACAGTAAGACGAAATGTTTTGTGACCCAAATTCCAGAATCAAAAGAAAATCAAATTTCGATGTGTGAAAAGCTGAAAAATAAAGAAATAACAAAAAAAAAAAAAAAAAAAAAACAAAAAACAAATCTGAAATGAACAGAAAATCAAAATACAAATAAAACCGAGAAATAGTCATCTACAAATATTTATGGCTAATTCAATGGCTTGAGGCTCTTTCAGACAAAACCACAGCAACAAAAACAAGTGTGGGGACCAATAGGCCCCGCCCCCGTGCGGCCGGCATTCATTCAATCATTTTGTCAATGATGTGGCTTTCTATTCTAAACGCACGTTCATTATTATTATTGATTTCCCAACTTATTTTTCGCTCTTTCGACTTTTCAGTTTTTTCCAAGGCTGCAATTAATTTTCTCGCGCTATTCTAAGTCCCCCCCCACTGCCTCAACACCCCTCCTACTGACCACAGCACCAGCGCACCATGAAACAAAAGGAATTGGAAAGAAGACACACGCCGTGCCCGTCTTTCATGTCTAACGCGCATGGCTCTGGGGCAGATGGAAATGGATTTCCAGTCGTAGGCCCGGACCCAGGCCCAAGCCCAGACCCAGACGCAGACCCAGACCCAAGCCCAAACCTCGGTTGGCGACGCGACGCACACAATTGATCCCCGACCTCTGGGCCCAGCTAGTGGCATCGACGATATAAAAGCTCGGCCTGTAACTGTTTTTGGGTTTAGAACAAACGCAGCTGCGCACGCGTGCGGACCCTCGCGCATAACTTATCTTCATTTTTTTTATGGTGTTTTGTGTTATCGCACAGGATTCAAGGATACAAAAATATATATTCGATACTCCAGTGTACTAAAAACCTATCGAAAATGTGGCAATACTTAGTGGTATGTGAAATGACAAAAGTTGTCGAAGGATGCTTTTCCAAACATATATAAAAAGAAGATAATATAATAAATAAAAAATATGACTATCGAAATCTTCAAATGAAAACATGCATGCTACTTATATTATTAATTTACAATAAATATATGTGCTCGTAATTCAATATCGTTGAAGATATACCGAAATATAAAAAGCAAATAATAATAATTTTATTTATTATAATACTGAGCATTAATTTGTTTTATATTTGTAAAGATATATATTTTTTTTAGTAGAGTCACAAATTGGATTCTAAATATCATGAAGACCCTGGATATTTATATATTTAATTTTAAGCTAGTCGCAATTCAAAAGACTTTATTTCTGTAAATTTATGATCCAGTATCAGACATCGCAAGAATATCTCGGTTCTTGGGTCAAGTAATATTTTGACCAAACATTATGGCAAAAGTTAGGTGGATATAAGTTGAGATTATTTTTATTATTAACATAAGGACCGCTGAAGAACTCATTTTCAAATCATAAATTGCCTTGGCCTAAAACATTGGTCTTAACCTTATTTGGTGGTTAGCAATTATTAAGTAGAAGTCAAATTCATATAGTAGAATATCTACGGCTTGCAATACTCTCAGCAGAACGGGCAAATATAAACTAAAAACTTAAATTGTTTTTGATTTTGACTTTGAAAATATGTGACAAGAAACCGAACCACAGACAATTGGAGCTCTCTCTCTCTCTCTCTCTCTCTCTCTCTCTCTCTCTCTCTCTCTCTCTCTCTCTCTCTCTCTCTCTCTCTCTCTCTCTCTCTCTCAAATGATCAATATATCTTTTTAAATGGCAATGACCATGACGGGCTAGGTCAGCTAGGACAATATCACATCCATATACTAGCCTGGAACACGAGCCCGGATCCTCGATTAGCGGGAACTGCGTACATAAGTAATTAATGTAATCAATATAAATACCTAATGGTTAGTTTTAAGAAAGACTCCAAATGTAATATGACCTTTCTCAAACTTAATTTCTCGGCTTGCAGCTCATCGCCGGATTTTCGGCTCTGCCCCAGCCCAGCAGCGGCTTCTGGTGGCCCAAGGCGACAACGTAAGTCAGCCACAGTGTTGGTAAATGCAACTTAATTTAATCCTCTCTCCTTCCAACCACAGAGAAACACCGCGCACTCAGGTGCTGCAACAGATTCCGCTCACCTACTTTCGCACCTACACCTACCAGCCACTGACAGGCGGCGCATTTGGAGTGCCGCTCTTCGGCTTTGGTGCAGCACAGACGCCGCTGCTCTCTGGCCGCCACTATGATCCGTACGCGGTGACCAGCTATGCGGCTGCCCGGCGCCACGATGCAACCGCAGCCGGCTTTAAGCCGGACGTAACGCCACCTGCTCTGGCGAGCAGCAGCAGTGCGTCGAGTACAACGCCAGCGCCGACCACAACGACGACTACGACAACGACCCCGGCACCAACAACTACAACCACAGCAACAACGACGACCAGCAGTACAACTAGTGCACCACCGACCAGCAGCACCACGGAAACAACATCCCCACTGCGCTACGCCGCCTACAATGCCGAGTATCCGACTTACAATCGGCGGGTGAACCATTTGTACAATGCGCGACCGCAATATCCGTATCCAGATTACTTTAACTATCAGCCGCAGAACACGCTGCCGGAGAAGGGCGGCGCGCGCATTCAGTTCGTGCCCTGCATGTGTCCAGTCAGCATGCCCAGCATGTCGGGTCTGTCCGGTCTGGGACTGAACGGCGCTACCAGCACTGATCGAGACCGGCCAACAGGCGTGTCCATTAGCAGCACGTCTGGAGATGTTGCATCCGCGGAGCGTAACATTATCGCCTTGCAGGCGCGCCACATTGATAGTGGTGAAGCTGACTTCGAGGAGGAGGAAGATGAGCAGGAGCAGGAGGCAGCAGATGCGTCCGCTGAGGCGGATGAGGCTGATGTTGCCGTAGCCGTTCCCACAAAAGTCGCCCCCGAGCCGCAGCATACCACGCCTGCCGTTGAGTCCAACAGTGTGGTCTAGCCACGCCCGCCGCCCCGCCCATTATAGTATTAACAACGCCTAGACTGATTTGTGCAACTCTCTTGGGAGACCAGTTCCAACGACAGTTTGGCATTCCCTCCCCTAACTTAATGTGCCCTATTTTTTTTTGTCCATAATAAAATACCACGAAATAAATTACAAAGCTCTTAAATGCAAACATATTTTTTCTCGGTAAAATCTCACCCAATTTCCACGAGGTTTGGCTGTTTGTCTTGGAAAATTCTACATGCACACATGCATATATACATGCACAGATATAAACACACGTGCTTACATGCATACATGCGAACATGCATACATGCGTAGATGCATACACACATGCATACATACAAGCATAGACACATGTTTGTATATATATGTATACCGCCACACTATTTTCACAAAACATTAACACTCACACTAAACTCTTTTACTGAAGGGATGCCTGACTTATATGAATTCTTGAGAATCGACGAGGAGAGCACTAAATGAAAGAACTTAATATTTAAATTGCAGCACAGGGTCTGCAGTTGGTATCGAAGAATATCTCGCATGCTTACAAATGTATATATATAAACATATATATACACATGCATACTCGCATACTCACGCAGACGCACATATGTACATACATAGATACATAAAAATACATACATACTTACAAAAAGGTTAAGTTAACTTAGCCTGCGTTTAATATGAGAGAACATACCAAGAAACAACATAAGCCGCATTTTCCATCCGTGGAAAATTTGTTAATTTTCCCTTTTGGACTGATACATCGCTTCAGTCTCAAACAAATCCCGACTATCGATTTGATAGGGTTAGATGAAAAATATCAATTACCCTTGCGTTTTATACACTTATGTTTTGTTTTTTATTGGATCAAATGATTCTTCAATTACATTTACACATAAATATAGGCTAATACTTAGCGCTTTCTGCGCGATTTCAACTAACTTCCTTCCTCAGCTCCTCTTGCCTCTCGCACTGCACTGACTGCGGTTCCAAATGCGATCTGTTAGAATCGTTCCTATGCCTTAATACATATAAAGTACTCGTACTTAAACATTTCATTTCATTTTGTTTTTTTTTTTTTTTCAGTTGCTGACCAATTAACAATTAGAGTTACATACATATCTAGATGAAATTGTGCTTCGAGTCTTTGAAGTAAATGTAAATTTCATAAAAAAAAAGAGCAGGCATTTATATTACTTAATAAACATATTTGTAAGCATTAAATCCAATGCGCATTCACAAAGGGATTTACAGATTACATTATATCATAAAATAAAAATAATAATAATGATAAAAATATTGTTTTTACATATTATTTTATAAATATCTATAAAGATATATATGTAAATAGCAGAATATAATCAAGAGAAAAATATATAATCAGTCATTTAAGTTATAGATATACATACATATACAAATACACAAAGAGTATATATAAATTGTTGCTTAGACATATACAATTTGAATTCTGCTTTCGAGTTAAACAATTAAAAATGTTACATTCTAGATTTTATTAACTATGCTTAGTTTTGCGCGCGCATACGTAATGCCTGGATTCCCCCGATATTCAGAGACGGTTATCCCTGTCAAAACCCCCATCCGTATACAAATGTATACGGTATACATATATATATATATATATATATATGCTTGAAATATACATAGATACATTTATATAAGCATACATTTATCTGGGGTAATACATATGTATATATATGAAAATGTGGTTTTCTTCTTGGGTTCGTGTCATGTTTGTCGTCACTTCGTCATTTCGTCAATTGTGTTTTTGCATTTGTCACTTATGTGCTGCAAATTGCATTAATATGGCCTATAAGTATTTGTAGAAGAACCCACATACATATATACTTATTGATATTTCAAATACATGTAAAGCGTCTCCACATTTAAAAAAAAAAAAAAAAATCATCATCGTCATTGTCATCGTCATCGCCATTTCATCTTTTCATCATTTTATCATTTCATCATTTCTTGCGCTTATTGGATATGCTATTTGTTTTTCAATTTCTTTCGATTACTCTTCAAGTATATTTTTCTATTCACTTTTGCATTTGTCTAACTGATTGCATCAGTCGCGGTTGCCCCTGCCCAACACCCTGTACTTTTCGATTCAGGCAGAGGCAACAACAAAATGAACAATAATTTAATTATTTTTTGTTTTTCTTCTACGCATTTTGCGAGTTTTTCGTTTTTCGTATTCTTTTTTCATTTTTTTGTTTCTTATCATTTTTTGTTTTTTGTTTTTTTGTTTTTTTTTTTCAGTTGTAAAATAGTTTAAAATTAAAAAATAATGAGATTGCGCAGGGCTAAAATAATTGATCATTCACAATCACATTCACATCATTCACCCACTGAACACAACGAAAAATTTCCTATACAAGAAAAAAAAAAATAAAAAAAAATCTACCGAAACCTTGCAAAAATTTACTTATCACAAGTTTTTGCTTTCGATAAATGTCAGTTACAAACTAGTTGTGGGCGTGGCAGACAACGGACGCAGCGCAAACAAATAAGTTAACTAACAAATTAAAATACAAAAAAAAAGTAAACTATGTAAAAATTACAATAAAATAATAATAATTATAGTAATAATTATGGGGCTGGGTCAGTGGAACATTTTTTAAAAACTAAATGCTTGTAAATCTCAGATCTCTCGTACTAGAAACTATAAATTATAAGTATATAGATAACGAAATGTTCATATAGCAGCTCAGCGGCAGCAGCTAAACACATGTCCAAGACATCCATACAGACTCATATATACGCCCACGCACACACGCACACACACAAAAAGGGGGAATGCCACTGGATGAATATTGTTCGGTTTGCTTCCTGTTCCCAGCGTGAAATTCATTTAGGTGTGCCTGTTGCGCCTGTTGCATCTGCTTAGACGAATGTCTCCCTTATGACGGTGCTGCTGCTACTGTTGCTTAGATCTTAGAATTCGGTTGATTGTCAGACAAATGAGGAGAAGCCAGGCAGTGGCGCCCTCGATCTGGCCATATTATTGACAATAATCTGGCCGCCATTGAGGCTCATCACTGCGCTGCCCTCCGGCTCGGAGTCTGTATAGCTGGAATAGTTGCGCACCGGCTTTGTCTTCTTCCATGATTGACGCAATGAATCATTGACATTGGCATAGTGATTTACAAATGAATGCGGATCGCTGCGTACGCTCTCGTTTTCGCTTTCCGAGTGCTGAAATGTAAATATAATTTGAATGGCATTCAATGGATGTCTCCAAACTCATTTGGACTCACCTGCGAGGCCTCGGAGCTGCTCACCTCTGATGGCTTCTCGGTAACGCTGCTGTCGTCCGGATTCTCATCGTAGCACTTAAGACTCTCCTCATCGCTGTGGTAGGCTACCGAAGCGGGCGACGGCCTTGGGGGACTCTTGCCTAGCTGCACATTTGTCGGGGGTCGATTGGTCGACTTGCGGCCCAGGGTGCCAAGCGTGCCGCTGCGCAGTGTGCCCACGCTGTTCAGTGTGCCCGTGCCAACGCCGTGACGCGAACGATACAGCTCCAGTGCCAGCTCCTGGCGTTCATCAATCGACATGGCCATGGACTCCTCCAATGTTTTCTGTGCTTCCTCTGCGTGGCATCAAGGGAGGCAATTGGTTAGGAATTGAAATGAACAATTTAAAGGCTTCACTCACGTTTATACTTGTAGCTCTTGCTCTTCACACAGAGTACGGCAATGACCATCACAATGATGACTATCGATGTGGCTGCTAGCGAGACCATGAACCATGTTTGCCTGTAGAATGGCTTGTGTTGCAAATATCCGTATTCAAGATGTAGCTTCGATGGGGTCAATATCGAATCCTTGGAGTACGCCGGAAACGATATACCATAACGGTTGTAGGCAATCACGCGGAATGTATACGCAGTCGATGGCATCAATATATGGTAGCTAACGGTGAAGTCCTGCATGGTGCCCTTCTTCGTCTGCTCAATCTTTGTCCAGCGCGAATCATCTGCGAGTCGAGTCAAATAACATTTGAGCGAGTGGGTCAAAGTCAAGTGGTGCGAATACGCAGTTAAATATACTTAATAATGGATGGATGAGCTACGAGTATATGCTGAATTGAGGTTTCGTTACAAAACTCCATAAAATAATTTGATCATTTTACCACTAATCATCTTAAGAAATAATTATTCAATGTTATGTACCCTTGCAGAGGTTTTTCTTTGAAACACTTTCTGTCTTCATTTAATAAAATTTTTCAAAATTAATTCAATCATTTTCTTCTAGTCTCTCTTTAAATTTATAGTAGAATATTATTACGTTTTATTATTCTTTTATTTATATTTTTTTTTCTATTTTAAGTAGCCCAATACCAAATGAAACATAATCAAGCATTAGAGTCTGATTGCGAAGATTGTTAGAATTTTGAGTTTATCGACTACGATACTTACATATAAACGAGGGCTCTCCTTTTTCTAGGCAAGCATATTCAAAAATGATGTTTAGTTTTTTGTTTTTGAGTTTTCGAAAAGTTGCAGAAATTTCGAAACAGTTCACCAAAGATTATTGTAAAATAGAAATCAAAAGTTAAAGTAAAGCGAAAGAGAACCAGAACCAATAAATATTAAATATTTGACGGATGGCTTACCGCGCTTCTTGGCCTCGATGAGGTAACCAAGGATGGGTCCGCGACCGGAGGGTCCATTAATCCAGTGCATCTCGACGCTGGAGAGCGTCTTGCTGAGTATCAAATCACGCGGTGCAACGGGTGAGCCGTCCTGTGGGCCTGTGGTTACATTCTCGCTAACCGCGGGTCCATAGTCAATGGTCTGGGCGCGCACAGTGAATGTATAGGTGACCTCCTCCTCCAGGTTCTGGACGCGCAGCGTAGTATTAGATACCTTCTGCTTTACCTGCTTGCTAAACTCTGCGCAACGAATGGAAGAGGCAACTGATTATTTAGAAGGATTGCTTCTCGAGCGTTTTTATGGCTTACTCTCGTTTTCCTCGGTGGTCTCGTATGTCACCAGGTAGCCCAGAATTTCGCCATTGAGAAACTTGGGCGGATCCCAAGCCACCTCCAGACTCTGCATTGTGATGTCTGAAAAGCGCAAATTAAGCGGAGCGCTTGGCACACCCTGAAGCGTCTTGACCGTAACGGGTGCAGAACGCGGTCCATCGCCGGCAGGATTGAAGGCCAACAGCTGGATGCGGTATTCGGTGTACTTATCGAGAAAGACAAGACTGTGCGATGTGGCCGTGGCGGAGACGACCTCGATTTCCTCCTCCCACTTGCGTCCTGGCTCGAGCGCTTGTGGTGAAGATGTGACCAGGTAGAAGATCTTGTAGCCCAAAATGTCGCCATTCTGCATACTCTGCTTGGGTGGCTTCCAGCGAAGGCGCACCTCGGTGCTGGATATGGACGCAGCATCCACAGCGCGTGGTTCTCCAGTGGGCACAGCCTCCCCTACATAAACTGCCGCTGGCGGCGTTGCCGGACCCGGTCCCTGGGAGTTAAATGGCAGCACGACAATTTCATAGTTACGATCCTGCGTCAGATCGGAGAGCACCACACTGTTCACATTGATGCCCATGACATCCGTTTTGGGCGTTGACTGCAGGGCCGTGGGAAAGTCCGAGAGCTGCTGATACAAGATGCGATAGCCACCAGTTGCTGCATCCCCATTCCACATGCCCGTCTCCAGTGCGTTCCAGTGCACGCGCACCGATGTCGTCGTAATGGGCACCACCTTCAGTCCACCCACCCCAATGGCTGGGGCGGCAGGCAGGGTGCGTACCACAATACTCTCGCGACTGAAGGCCGAGGGGCCCAGATCGTTGGTGGCCTGTATGCGAAATTGGTAGGTGGTATGCGGTCTCAATCCCAGGGCTGTATACGAGCTCAGCAAAGGATCTACGCGCTCCGGAAGCGGCTGCCATGGACCCTCGTTCTCGCGCATTTGGACCGTGTAGTAGCGCAGCGGTGCGAAGCCATCTCGACCCGGTGTCCAGCTGAAGGTGATCTGACTAGACTGGATCTGGCTCCGCGAGATCTGCGGCACTGACGGCGCCTGCGGACGATCCCGGTTGTTGGTGGTGTACACGAGCACGCTGGCCGTCTTGCCCCAGCCTAGTCGCGTTTGGGCGGTCACACTAAAGCTATAATAACGTTCGGATAGCAGCTGGGTGGCACGGAAAGTGCGATCCGAGGGCGGGAACTCGCGGCTATAGTTGAGATTGGCGCTGCCGTTGAGCGTGTAGGTGACTTGATAGGCGAGTATCTCGCCATTCGGATCATCGGGAACATCCCAAATGATGCGGGCCATCGAGAAGGTCACATCCGGGAAACTGACATTCGACGGTGCACCGGGTGTATCCTCAAAGGTCTGGACGCGTATTGGTGGTGTGCTCAGCGCGCCATCTCCCAATCTTGTGTAGGCCAGCACCTGGACATGGTAGACGACATATTTTTTAAGCTCGGTCAGGGTTGTGGTAAAGGAACTGTTGGTCGTGATGGTTTTATGCAGCACTGGCACCATGTTGACGCGATCTGGAGCCGCATAGAAGACCTTGTAGCCTTCGATTTGACCATTCCGATGCTGGCGCGGCACCTCACCCCAGCGCACCACCACAGTTGTCGAGGATGTGGCATTCGCTTGGACATCCAATGGTCCATACGTTGGCGTCGCCTCCCGTGTGCGTTCCTCAGCCGAATTGCTAGCGCGGGAGCAGCCCACATCGTTGCAAGCATTTATTAGCACCTCGTAGACGGTCCACTCCTCCAGAGCATCCAGCACATGCGAATTGGCCGTGTGATCCTCGATGAGTACGCTGCGCGGCGTTCTCTTAATGGCGCCAGCAACACGCTCCATTTGACGGTAGGTGATGTTGTAGCCACGAGGATTGCCAAACCATTCCGTTTGCTGCAGCGGTATCCAGCGGACGCGTAGCTGTTGAGCGCTCATTGCCCGTACGGTGACATTGAAGGGTGCGTGCATGGGACGGGCCTGTATGGTCTGGAAATCCTTGGTGGGCTCCGAGGGGCGCGAGCTGCCCACCACATTGGTGGCGCTCAAGCGCAGACGGTACTGGGTGAAGGGCATTAGACCGGTCACAGTGAGTGTCTCCGCATCGGGATCGCTGATCTCACAGATGGTGAACCAGGTCATGTTGCGTGCCGTTTGCGCTTCTACCTTCCATTTGGTGATGCTCGAGTTGCCATCGAAGCCAGGCGTAAACTGCAGCACCACGGAGAATGCCTCGATGTTTGACAGCGCCAGATTGGTCGGTGCATGAGGGAGCACTGGCTCCACCCCCGACTGTATGGTTGCCGTCTTGGGTGCACCGCTGCCAATTCTTGTCCAGGCGCAGATCTCAAACCAATAGTGCGTAGTTGCCTGCAGCTGATTAACCGTCAGCTGTGTGTCCTCGGCGGTTAGATTAATGGACTTCATGGTCTCGGGACGATCGCGCACCTGATAGCGCACCGTATAGCCGGTGAGCAAACCATTGGCGTGGCGCGGTGGGGCCCACAGGACGGTAACAGCACGATCGGAGACATCATCAAAGTGTAGGGCAGTTATCTCGTCGGGCACATCCTCTTTGGTCATGACGGGCACCTTTTGACTGATGATGCCATCGCCGGGATCGGTGAAGCACAACACACTGATATTGTACTTGGCGTACTTGTCCAGCCCATTAAGTATGGCCGTCTGCTCGGCAAGCGGATCGATAAGACTGGGCGGCACCGTCATCATGCGCTTCTCCACGTCACGCGGCTCGCCGTCGATGTGATGCTGCTGCCATGCCTGGATCTTATAGCCCTGATTGATGCCGTTAATCTGTTGCGGATTCGGTGGCTTCCAGCTGATCTTGGCGGCCGTCGAGTTCAGGGCCACTACACGCAAATTTGTGGGCGGCGCCTCGGGCACGCCCTCTTTAGTCTTGATCTTGGCGCCCTCAGTGTAAATGCCAACACCCATTTCGTTGTAGGCGGCGATCTGCACTACATAATCCTTCCAGGTAATCAGCTCCTTGATGAGAAAACTGCGCTGCACTTCGTTCGTGATGTTCTGATAGGTCCAGGGCACATTGTTATAGCCGTAGAGTCGATAGCGCAGTATATAGCCCAGTATATGGCCATTGCGATGCTCCTCCAGCGGCGGCTGCCATTGCGTCATGATTTCCGACATAGATCTAGCGGAGCCGACAAAACCAACTGGTGGGCCCGATGGTGCTGAGAACGTTTTCGAAAGTAAACAATATTATTAGAAGCTCCTTGTAAATTTATCAGGTGGTGTGTGCAGTTTGTATACGGTTTTACTCATTGTAGTGTATGAGATGCAGGGATCAACACTCTGGATTATATACCTCGGTAATATGGAAACGCTACGCTCATTTGTTCATCAAAAGCGGGCGATCACGACGTTGCAGTTTGACGACAACGATAGCAGTTAAAAGTACAATACATACATATGGTTATACAGCATTAGTTTCTATGCACTAAATAATTGTAAAATATTCAAAGCAAAAGCTACACCATTTACGTAGCATTAACGAGTGCGCTTGGCAACCCTAGAAATAGGTGCTCAAAATGCAATCGCAAAAACTAAACGAAATTAAACGAAAATACTTTATAATTTTCAAATCCAATCACAACTTAAAGCTTACTGAATATTACTCTAATCGCAAATTGAAATTGTTCGCATATTGCCAACCAATAACTATTACATCTGATTGATTTTTTGAAAATGATTTGGCTTCTAATGTAAAATGAATTTCAAGCTGCCAATTTTAGTTGCTTGTCAAATGTTTACAATGCAGATAGAGTGCCTGGCAACGTTTGCAAATCAGGATTCGGTACAAATGAATGACTTTACTTCAAATACTACTACTATTTGAATCGAATAGAAGTTATTCGAAGTTCTTTGCAATTCCGAATGTAATTAAACTATTTTGCAGTTTACAACATAAAACATTTCTTGTAAACCAAAAGCCGAAATCAAAAACACAAAAGCTGTTTAACACAAGAAGCTATTACATAATACTTGGATGTAGATAGAGGGAAAAGTGCACTCACCTTCTTGGGGCAGCTCGACGACGTTACTTGGCTCGGATGGTGAGCCCTCGCCGACGCGATTAACGGCACTCACGCGAAACTGATAGACGGTGGCTGCCTTCAGGTGCTCCAGCAGAATCCAACGCTGATCGGCAGAAACGTTGCTCAACTCGGTGATCCAATTCCGTAGCAATTCTGGTACTGGATCATCGGATTTTTCTGTGATGTTAATGTGTTGAAAAACGTAGTTGCGAGAGGATAGCGAGAGAGCAGATGAGCAAGCGCAAGTGTGTGGGTGTGTGTGTATGTGTGTGTTGTTAGATACGAAAGAAAGCGAAAGCGCATTGCAAAAGAGAGTGATCGAGTGGTGAGTGATGAGCAAGGTGAATGATGAGTGTGGTGAGTATTGAGTATGGTAAGTGATGCATATGGTGAAATACGAAAATGGTTAGTAATGTGCATGGTGATTTTTTGGCATGGTGAGTTTTGCGCATGGTGAATATTGTGTGTTTAGTTTGAGGTGCATTTAACAGTGTGTATTTTTGAAGTTTTCGTATGTTGAAAAGTTAATGTGCGAAATAAGTAAATAAAAACAAAAGTAAATTAACAAAATGTAATCAAAATGAAAATACAAATTAATATACATTATTTATATATATTTGTATAAGAATTGTATACATATATATGTTGGTTTAAGATTAATATCAAAGGTTCGTTACGGTACACGGATTGGAAGAAAGAAGAAAAAACGTTAGCAAATCCATCAATTTAAAAATGTAACTTTTCTGTTTAAGATGGTTTCTTCTACTCTATATTAATTTAAAATCTTTAAAACAAATAAAGTCGTTTCCAGTTGGGACTCACATAATTGATACCCAATGCAAACAGAATCACAAATGGTTAATTGAATTTTTGCTGCTGTTTTGTGGCTTATTTTTGTTTCTGTTGTTGTTGTTGTTGTTGTTGTTGTTGTTGCTGGAGTTGTTGTTTAACTGATGTGATTTACATGTTTTCTAATTACACGCAAGGCCCCAGGGCCCAACATCAGAGCCCAACATGAAGCTGCGCGGTTTGTGTGTGTGTGTGTGTGCGATAAATCAAATTGCAATACCGCAAAACCGTAACCGTAACCATAACCATAACCACGTAAAGCTAACCCGGACAAAAATTGTGTGACGGAATAGTAGGGGGCGGTCGGTGGGGTGGATTGATGTTGATGCTGGCATATGGCATACACTTACCCAATTTGGAGACCTCTCGACGCTGTATAATAAATTTGGATATTGGACTGTTGCCATCGAAGCCCGGCGTCCACGATACATTGATGCTGCGCTGCCGCGGCTCGGCCAGGCGCTCCACCTTCACATTGCTGGGCGGGAATGGCAGCTCAATAACGCTGAGACGTGCCGCGCGCGTCTCATTGCCACCGGGCGAGGTAACCACACACGCATAGCTGCCCACATCGCTGGCCCGCACCGCCTGTATCTCCAGCTGGCCATCTCCTTGAACGCCAATGCGCTGCGAATTGCTTATGGGTGCCGGATGTCCCTCCCGGTACCAGTCGATATTGAACGGGACACTGGGGTCACTGGACACCTTGCATTGGAGCGTTGCGGTCAGGCCAAGCAGCACGGTTGTGTCCACCGGCGGTTGTATGATTTGTGTTCGCACTAAAGTGAGAGACAGAGACAACGAAAGAGAGAGAGAGAGAGAGAGAGAGAGAGAGAGAGAGAGAAAGAGAGTGGAGTAGTGTGAATATGTGAATATGTGGGCGTGGCAAGAGTTTGACATTAAACAGTAAAAGAGATTAACTGCAACACATTTGCAGCCAGACAACGTCGGGACAGTTCTCAGCGCCCCCTTCCCAGTTGGCTGGCATGTAGGAAATTAAGTTTTAAAGCCTCTCATATATATATATATATATATATATATATATATATATGGATATATATGTGCATCTGTATATTTTTTCTATATGCACATTTTCGCTGCCTTTTCAGTCACTTGGCCGCATCATGCATCAAAAGTTCAACGCGCTCGACCAGACTTTAGCCGGGTCCGGCTCTGGTTTTGGCCCTGTTTCTGCCTGGCATTTCTTTTGGCTCTGACGACCTTTTATTGTTGTTGTTGAAATCCGCTGCCTCGTTTGCATATGGTGCACACACATACAAACTTTTTTCCTTTTTTTTTTTTGTTTTTTGATTACCGTCCCCATGCGCCACGTTTTATGCAAAACAAAATTTCAAAAACAAGTCAGAATATTACGGTGCAATGCAACCGACTGCATAATACTCGTTAACAGTCCAATATCGGTTACATATCTTGCCCAATTTTTTTGGGGTAAGTTTGCAAGCCTACATATTTGGAGCATTGTGCTCGATTAATGATGAAAATCATGCTTTTTGCATCATGGTAAAGGTTGTTTCTTTTCTTCTTTTTTTTTAAGACTTTATTTTCATTTTAGTCTCTTTTCCGGGCGTCTTCATGTATGTCTTCTTAATTACACGGACTACATTTTGTGATTCTCAACTATGGTTGAAGATTTTGTTGCTGACTTTAAAATTGAGAAAGCAGCTCATTCAAAGAGTTACCTTTTTTCTAAAATCGTTGAATAACCTACTTTGTTTTGGCTAACATTTTTGCATTTGCCTCTGAAGCAGCTCATATATCCAGCTTGTGGACTCTAGCTATACGAATATTTATATGCCAACTTCCAAGCAGGCCTGACATGGCACTAAACCAATATACTCGTTTCACTTTGTGTCCAGTCAAACACACACATACACACACACACACATACAGGCTAGCTGCAGCGCTTTGCCAATTAGCAGACATTGATGTGGCCTTTAAGAGAGCCTCCCAAGCTACTGCTGGAAGCCAGGCCTGTGGCCAGCTTTAATGCATTAAAAATAAAACAAAGCGTAAAAAGCTCAATTTAAATTATGAGTATTGTTGTTGTTGTTTTCCTGCCTGCGGCTTTGATGACAATATAATGTGTTATTATGGGACCAATACGTTTTAGCTGATTTGATGTGGCACTCGCCAGTCGTTGCACATTGTTGTTGCTGCTTGTAGCCACGCTGTGGCATGTTTCAACGGTGACAACTCGGCAGTTGTGGCAGCTCCTGGCTATTAACATTATTAAGGCTCTCGTTGTTGTTCTCACTGTCACAAACCATGTGTGTGTGTGTGTGTGTGTGTGTGTGTGTGTGTGTGTGTGTGTGTTTGAGGCATAGCAAAACTTAAATAGGTTGGCGCATGTATTTAACAAAACTAATCTGCATTGATCAAAATTGATAAAAGTCGATACTACACTCAGAATAATATAATTTCAGGCGACTTCATTAAAATTATATTCATTTATTATTATATCAATAATAAAAATAAAAACTAGAATAATAATAGAAAATATGCATATAAAATAAATACAAATTTTATATGTTCTTTTGTATGCCTTTCATTTAAATAAAACCCTCTAGCAATTCTATTTGATATTACAATTTCTTGAGTGTACGCCAAATCCGGCTGATTCCGACATATATACCGCCTGCCACAGACGGACATCACTATATAGACTCTGCCGTTGATACTTATCATATCATTATAACACATGGAAGGACATCTTCCATGTGTTGAACAATCCCTGACAAATTTCGAATGCCCTCTAGTAGAGTAAAGAAATTGGATTCCATGCCCACACATATTGTTTGTAATATAATACAATGCTGAACAATTAGAATTGTTGAATTCTATATTGTTATCATTGTCGAATAAAATAAAAAATATATTTTGTTTATTCGCTCTAAGTAGATTTTGTTGCGTTGATTGCATATGTGTGTGTGTGTCTGTGTGTGTGTGTTGATTATTGTTTTTTTTTTATTATTATTTTTATTTTTGCATCTAATTTCAATGGCAATTTCTTGGTATAGCATTATTAAATGAATTCAGTTGAATTATGACACGCATTTCGATTTCACCCTCTAATCAGGCAGTCAGTAATGAAGTTAGCATAATTTATAGCTAATACGCATTGGTAATATAAATCATAAATTGTTCTATTCCAAAATATGTTTGTGCAAACAAATGCGCCCAATTAGCGCAACTGAATTGAGCATAGAATGTGTTATTAATTTTGTTAGCTGCATTTTAACAGATTTTTACTAGCGTGCGACTGGGGGAGAGAGAGAAGCGTTTAGCATTAAAGAGATAAGCAACACATTACAATATATTAGCGTGGTCTAGGAACCGAAAGGCTTTCGCAAAATCGCGTGGCCCAAAGCTTGACAGTTGATGTTCCTTTGACAGGCGCCTTGATCAATTGCCGCACTGCTTCTCACTTCGCTTCTCGCTGCTATTAAATTGTTAGATTCTATGCGTTTATCGGTGAGTGCAATTGAACATCGAAAAGATTTAAATAGATTAAGGCATGCCGAAATGCATGAATTCTACTGTGTTAATCATTAGTTCAAAATTCAATTTCGTTCACTCCGGAACGAGCAGCAGCTCGCTGAGCTAACACAAAAGTATGTTTGTACTATATATAGACAAGCAATTAAACTGGCTGCTGGCTTTGCGTTGCCAATTAACGTGAAGTGTGGGAATGGGGCTGTGGACGGATTGGTACTCTGTCGTATAACTTACCTAGTACACCCAGATAAGCCTCGCCCTTTACGGTGCCCGCCTCGTTGGCGCGCACACATATGTAGAGGCCCGCATCGGAGGCGCGTATATTTGAGATGAGTAAATCGCCAGATTCGAGTATCTGAACGCGGCTCGACAGCTCGACCAGTTGAGTTTCTATTATTGTTGGTTTGTTACATTTTTTTTTTGTTTTATTTTTATTTTATTTTTTTTTTTTTGGGCAATCGGGATTTGTTTGGTCATCCAGCAAGCAGTTTAAGCGGGGAAAGTTGCATTTGCAGAGTTGCATTTACGGTTAGCAATTTAATTGGTTGGTTGGTTAGCATACGAAAAGAACAAAATGACATCGATATTAGCATTTACGAAGGTAGCGTTAACTACATTCAAAGCGTGCAGTAGTAGAATTCGTGGCACTCACCATTATAAATCCAGGTTATGTTCGGATTCGGTGCGCCTACGGCCCGACATGAAATGGTCGCATCTTTGCCATCCAGTGCGGTCACATTCTGTGGCGGCTGCTCCATCACCGGGGCTGTGGCTGTGGATGGATGATCGAATGTTGAGTATTTAGCAAACTGAGCCGCAATCGATGCATAAAGGTGTGGGTAATTTTGTGATGCCGCATATGTATGTGGGTTCAAGTCAAAGGTAAATACGTGGCAGTCATGCAAACATGCTTATATGTGTGCTACTGTGTTTGTGTGTGTGCTGGGTGCGTGTTTGGGGGGTGTAAATGTGTTACTTAGCGGCTATGAGTGTTTCAATATTTGATTCTATGCCCACAAACAGCAAATTATTAAGTGTTGGTATACTTAGAGCCGCCCAAGAAAATAATATTAGCAATGCAACCATCTGGCAACGCCTAAAGCTGGGTTGCTCTTTAGCTAGATAACATACTGTTAATTTACATTAGTCCATAATTAACGTATGCTCCTATTCTATAAGCTATCTGGCAACGACTTAATCGCATTGGCTCCTTAGTTAGTTGACATTGTGTTCATATGAGTCGCTTATTAACTTTTGTTCCTTTTCCACAATTTCAATTTGTGAATTCAACTGATTTATGATTGGACTTTGTCAATGAAAAACATATTTAAAATACGACTTTTTTAGACCTAAATGGTCTATGAAAAGCCAGCCTTAACTTATTAACTCAGTAGCTCAAGGAGTGTGTGCATATTCTAACTTGTTGGTAGATCTAGTTGAGAGGAGTATTACGTTTAAATTTCGAAAGGTTTCACTTCACTTCAATCCCAAAATAATTCAAATAAGGCTGCCTTCTGCCAGGCTAACAATTAAACTTAAACTCTGGCAACGTCAGAAGTTAATACCAATTATTTATTGGGTCGCACATTTGGCAATTTTTTTTTGTTTTCTTTCTTTTTTTATAGTCGTTGCCACTCACGCGGCTCGAATCGCAGCAAAAGAAGTAATGTAATTATTTCATATGATGCATTCATTTTAACTCCGCTTATGTAAATAAGTGCATAAAATTACAATAAAAATTTCTGTATGTTTTTTACATTAAGATATTAAGTGTTCTGTGTGTGCGTGTGTGTGTGTGTGTGTGTGTGTGTGTGTGTGTGTGTGTGTGTGTGTGTACATGAAATTTTATGGCTTGCGGCGAAAAGTAGAGGACCGTCATGCGATTCACTGGGAAAATTGTTAAATTGTAAGGACACGAACCAACAGCAAGATAATATTTAAAAATAGTTGTATTCAAAAATGTCAAATACACATAAATACAAAAAATGGTTAATATATAGAAGTATATCGATATGTGCTCGTAGAATACCAGCTATCCCGTTAATCAGTTATCTTATTCTATATATAGACTATACATAGATTATACAGATATGGCTATTATAGACAGAGCTGTGCTACTGATTAAAAATATAAACATATCATTTACAAATTGTAGTTTATAGCTCTGCGGTTAACTAGAACTTAAATCATTCCAAAGACTTTTAAATAATTCCACAAAACTTAAAAATGCGTAAAACAGAACAAAGGAAACAAACAGATCAGAGCGGGAGAAAGAGTGTGCAACAAAATGAGGGGGGGGCGCAAAGCTTTAAGTCGAATTAACGTGCAGCATTGAATATCTGACAGCTTAATTAACCTTAAGTGCTCTTTAAGGCAAACCCTGTCCAAAAATAAAAGGCCAATCAAATAATTAAGGAATCAACAGAGAAGCCAACAAATTTTTGAGAAGGGGCAGTACTGAGAGGGGGGGGGGGGGGCACATTAGTTGATTTTTATGATTTATAAATAATTATTTTTACTTTGTCCCAAACACACTAAGGCTAAGAAAATCTATAATCAAAATCCGATAACCAGCTATTTACGAACTACTTAACTGCATTTTAATAGTTCAATTTGGGTTGTTTTTAAGGCATAGTTGTTGATAGATCCAAATTACGGCTTTCAATAAGCTACAAATTGAGCTTGAACTATTAAAAAAAAGTTAGTGATTTGTATAGAATATACAAAGTTTATTAGATGCGACCTCACAGTGATGGAAATCACACAAATTCACGCTGTAGTTGAGCAAGCGGAAATAGCGTGATTTGGACTCACTGATCAAGGCTAACAGTGAATACGTGTGACTGATAATAGCCGGTCACACTGGGCATTTGAGCTAACTGAGCCGGTCACACTGAACACCCTCTTATCCCAATCTATAAAATATGAGTGTGTACATAAAGTGCCCAAGTGCCCTTTATTTGCGTAGAGCTTGGGCAAAGAAATGGAAAAGAAAATGACTTTAAAGAGCTCAAGGGCTAATGTCAGTGTTGTGCGAAAGACTCGTTAGCCAGAATGTTAAGCAATTTCTGGCCTGAAATGTTGATGCATGGCGAAGGGGCATGATAATGATGCCGTGGCATGAAAATATTTTGCGGCGGGCAGCCAACTGAATAGTTGCATAACTTGGCTAATCGTGAAACGTCCAGCTACTTTCGAGACCAAATTAATTGATTGACAAAAACTACTGAGTTATTGGCTTAAAGCAGCGACTGTGGCTTATACGGTTATGCATTTGGTCAGTTTAAGAGGCGAATAGAGGTCACGTTAACGTGTTAAAAGTGCTTAAGCGGGCCTGCATGTAGTAAAGGGCATTGCCCCACACCCCTACAACCCTGCAACCCCCCCGTCGCCGCTCTCTCAGCGGCTGTGCACGCAAAGGGCATATTAAAGAAACGTGTGCAATAAAAGAAAAGAAAAACCATATTTGTAGCATACTTTTTTGAGGAGCCACCAACTGCTGAAAGCCGGAAATAATGAGAGTTTGAGTCGCCTTTAAGGCGAGCGTGGGCTAACGTGGTTTTGGCTGTTGAGAGATAGAGAGAGAGAGAGAGAGAGGGAGAGAGAGAGGCGGGTGACCTGGATGAGTACGCACTCAAATTATATCTGTTGTGGCATATGGCAACATAAATGCATGCAGGACTAATTGCGAATCGCGAATAATATGGAAGCGCCACAAAACTTGACAATGCTTCAGTGCGATTCATGCCACGTGCAAGGCGCAACACGATTTGTTGTTGTTTCATATTATAATTATTGTTGTTGTTTTTGTTGTTGCTGTGGTTGTTGCTGCTCCTGCTGGTGCATGGCATTCGTAATTAATTTCAAGTTGACCCACTAAAGCGGCCGCCTCAAGTTAAGGCCGTAATAATAAAGCGCTTGCCGGGAATGACGTGCACCGGCGATAATTGCCATTACTTGCCTGTAAAGTGCCTTCCTGCCTGCCTGGCTGGCCCAAGTATGGGCGGGAGGAGGGGGATTTAGTTAGGTGAAGAGCTGCTGGCTCTTGGCAGTTGGTTATGCATAACATTTGCATAGGAATTGCGGCTTGCTTTATATTACGCTCTTTTGTATAAACTGTGGCAAATCTTTTGGTTGCAAGGAATAGAAACTCCAACCAGGTTGCAAATGCTCCGTAAGTGGCATTTAAAATTGTTGTATGGCAACTAAGTCGAGCTGCGGCTTTAAATGTCTTAGCGTATCGCTTATATTAAAGACCATTTAGCCAATTTGAATAGATTCGAAAAATAAGCAAATTATGCAGCTGGTTCTGACGCGTGAGCTGAGCATTATAATAGCAGCAATTACTGCCACAAATGTTATTGGAGCAGTAGCCGATCCTGCGATACGATCACCACCTCCGCAATATCGGATTCTGTTAGCAAACCGGTTGACGAACTTGCCATCAACCCGAACAACGACTTTGCCAACGTAAATGAAAGTTCTGAAAAGGATACCAGCCAGAATATTCTTTTTGATTTGCGAATAGTGGAATAGTGAAAAGTATCGAATGACCCTGCAAGAATTTTCTGATAAGCGCAGAATGGCGAATGGAGATTAGAATGAGCTACCTTCAGAGGGCGGCTGCAGTGGTACAAGGGAATGACGACAGATGGGAGAAGGGAGAAACAGAGGGAGGTGGAGGAGACGGATGAGGAACTGCCATCTACAAGCACCGCACAGACCGTGGCCTTATAAAAAATCGTACGTCAACGAATGCGTCTGCGTCCCGTGCTGCCAGAAACAGATCATCTTCAAGCCCGCCGCCAACAAAACGACAGCGCCGAAGTACAGTACCAAGGCATAGGAGCAGCAACAGTTCTAGCGATTCGAACAAAATACCATCCCAAAGTTACTTTGAAACAGCCATTACACAACCCGCGGATGACTCTGATGGACAGGCTGCTCAACCTGAATCCATCAGCAATAAGCTTTGGTGTTCCGCTGCCAACAGTCCCACCAACTAAGAGTCCAAGTGGTGCACTAAATGCTCCTTCAGCGTCTCCAGGGAAAACGCACTACGCACTTTCACCTATATCGTATCGTGCCCAAGGATATAGAATGGGTACAAAGGGTATTATGTATTTGTGCAAATGTATGTATTAGCAGCAATAGCCGAGTCAATCCAGCCAAAACCGTATGTCTGCTTGGATATCAGAACCTATCAGAGCTACAGACTTGAAATTTAGCTGTACGTCCGTCTAGTGCCTGCGCAGATCGAGTTTGTTTCAGATAACCGATAACTTGCTTCGTTTCCAGGCAATCGATAAAAAACAATATCGACATCCTGTTTTTACAGCAAATTGCATAAATATTAAAAGCTAGAGCCAGCAAACTTGATATGTTGCTTCTAGAATACTATATCCATATATGTCGGGTATCTTTCATCTTATACCCCCGCTACAATCGCAGATCTATAAATCAAGTTGATAACTCAACTTATATTGCCCACCAATTAAAGCCACAATATTAATGCAATTGACTTTTTGAGAATACAAAAATATTCTATGGTAAAATAAGCTATACTGTAGAAAATTGCATTAAGATCGGTTAAGAAAAAACCAAAGTTGATTCGTTTAATTGGTTTTTCCTCCTCAACATAATAAATTATTGGTGTGGCTGTGGAGTGGAGGCATAGTAAGTAATGCGGTCAGTTGCGAATTCGAAACCTGCCAAAGGAATTTCTTTTGCTTAAATGTATCTTTATTACTTCAAACGAGCGCGTTAAGCGAACTATTTGGTGTTGGAATAAGAAGGTTCAGGGTATTCCCTAGTCGGGAGCTCCCGATTAGAACCTTTTACTTGATTTTTGTTGGTGCTATTCAGGTTGAGGACTTTGTAGAGCTCATGTTAAGCTGCCAATCAATGTTGAAGTAACCTCATAATAATGTACAATTACGTACGTTTTGGGCCCGCCAAGAGGCGCCACCTGTTGTTGGCATAAGCAGACGAGAGAAGAATATGAAGAAGAACAAGCACAAAGTAAGCATGCAACTTTGAGCGTTGCGTGTGTTGTGTTGTGTTCAGTTATGTTGTTACAGCTGTGTGAGTGTGTGTGTGCGTGTGTGTGAATTAAATATAAACTGATTGCATGACTGCATCGAAATGTCAGTCAGTCAGTGTGTGTGCGTGTGTGTGTGTGTGTGTGTGTGTGTGTTTGTGTGTGTGCGCGCTTTACGGCCTGTCAAGTGCCGGAAAATGTGCCACGCCTAGCGCCTGTGCCGCCGCCTCTTCATTAATACGTGTGTTGCTGTTGCCGTTGCTCTTGTTGCTGTTGCTGTTGCTGTTGTTGTTGTTGTTGTTCGGCAACTTTGGAGCTACATAGACAAACAGCGAAGCGTCTGCAAAATGCCAGGAAGCAGCGATTAAAATCACTTTGCGTTTCGGGAAATTACAAAATTATGTTACTCGAGCAGCTCAAGCAGCCGGAAAATGCGCAGCAACAACAGCAACAGCAACGACGGCAGCTTGGGCCAAAGGTAATGTGCTTAATTGCGCCAGGTGCAATCCAAAAGCAAAAAACTTATGCCAGTCAAGCGAACAACAGCAGCAAGAGCGCCAGCAAAAACAAATACAACAAAGCTGAAAAAGCGTAGCAGAGCAAAAATATGCAAAACTTTTGCCAAGAGAGGTGGGCGCAATTAAAATGCAAACAACTTATGAACCCGAACAAGAACCAACGACTCCGCTTAGGACGCGCTATCCTGCAAAATTATTTCAAGCCAGCTGCTCGCCATCTCACGACCGCGTGTCGTTCGACTCAGCTGGCCACTTGTTGCCCTGTAGCCAAGTGCCACATTTGGGGTAGCAACTTATTGGTAAATATATAAATAGAACGGTATGAATAACAAGTAAGTGTGCTTTAGTCGGGGGTGTCCGACTGGCAGATACCCTATACCCAGTACTGGGATGCCACCACACGCAATACAACTTTTTATGTTGCTACCTAAAATTAATAAATATTTATCGATTTGGGGAATATCGGTATTTTTCTCTCTGAGATCTACTTATCTAGAGGTGTAGTATCAGACATGGCTAGAGCGATAAAAAAGAAAGCAAGGGCCCTGAGAATTGCTGAGAAGGGCAGCAAGACAGATTGGAGATGACATTTTAAGACACTCTCTTAAGCTACTGCTCCCGAGACTTAGCGTGTAATTGTCTTGAGCTACCACGTGAATTATTTGAGAAGCACCGAGAAAGGCTGTTGCAACATCTTAAAAGTATGAGTGTAAATCAATTTTAGAGCAATAATCTTTTGTCATATAAAAATGTTGTACATTAGATGGGCAAAAATGGAACAGCAAATAGTATAGACAGAGCGAGACAGATCTAAGGACAGTTAGAGGCATAGAGATGGAGAGCGAATGTTAAGAATGTTTACATAAAACAAAAAGGAAAAGAGGGACAGACAGAGACAGAGACAGAGAGAGAGAGAGAGAGATAGAGAGAGAGTGACAGAGATTTATGTAAACAAAATACATATATCTAGTCAATATTCGTTTAGCATAAAATATACATTTTTAATGATAAATGGAGAAATAGAAATTGAATTTAAATTTGACGAGACGCAAAAATTGATTTTTCAGCAGAAAAAATATGTATATTGTTTCTTTAAGGAGCTACGCACTTATATATTACAAGTATACATATACGTAGAAGACAAATAAAAAATTATAAAATTCTGGCATAAAGAAAATTTAAATGTTTGTAAAAAATCTTTTAGAAAGTTAGGCGGCCAGCTTTTGAATATCTAGCAGTCTAGTTGATATATGTCGAAGTAATTTGTACCCACAACTACAGTCTATAACTCAGTCCAGTCGCACCTAAAATGGGATGAGAAACGTATTGGGCAAAATTTCAGAATGTAGAACAAAAATTGACTAGTTTAAGGAGTTCAGTAGAGAAATTGGCTTTAAATGCAGCCATGCTATAATTTCAAAGCTGTTTATTTTTTATTTGAAAAGAAAGAAAACAAGAATGGCCATGTGATTTAATTGTTTGTAACGAAAATTATTCTGGGTAAGATTTTCTCGCTTGAAATGTTTTTCGCTCTGCTCCTAATTCAAACCTTATTTTAGATTAGCGCAAAACTTTCATGCGATGCCAGAAAACATCTTCGTTCGTCTAGAGTTTGGAATATGCTTAGTGTGAATATGGAGTTGAGTACACAGATGTTGGACAGAACACTAAAAACAAACAAATAGACTTTTAAATGATACAAATTAAAGACCTTTACAAAATCTAACTATAAAACGTGATTGTTATGTGTTAATCGAGAAAATCAAAGTCAATTTGGCTTTAATGTTGCGTCTGAAAGGGGTTAAAACAAAGGCTTTTGGCCAAGTTCAATTATGTTTCTTAATTACTAACATAAGCCAAGCAGGGAGAGGAGTGGGTCGGTTGGGTCTAAGCAGATTACGGCTCAGTTATGCCACGCCCCAATCTACGAAGTTTGATTGTATAATTCGATGCCCTAAGACAGACGTGCAGCAGATGGGCGTGGCATATGCGCATTATAAACAAATTGACTGAAATTGTGAGCTGCACATTAAATGAAATGATACGAACTAAACTGTTTGGACAAGGGGCTCGGCAGGGGGTGGCTGCTTGGTTGTGGGAACTGCTCGGGCTATAAAATAAAGTCAGTCGAGCTAACTCAAGGCAAAAGTTTTTCAATAAAGCAACGCCGCGCCGTGGCCAGGACAAAATCTTTTAACTAGTTGTAACTCGATGAAGTGCAGCAGGAGCAGCAGCAGCGGTTAGCCAAGGACAAATCTCTGGCATTGACATGCCAGAGTTGAGAGAGGGGAAGAATAACTCAACACGACGAAATATGCATCGAAATTTACCAATTTACATGGCAAGTGGTCGACGGAGCTTGGCAATGTCTATAAAAATATACCAAAAAATATTACAAATTTGGCAGCACACACCGAGTGAGATTTAGAGAAAGAGAAAGAGAGAGAGAGAGAGCGAGAGAGAGAGAGGGAAGGAGGGCGAGTGAAGTGAAGCAGCGCAAGCAGAATGACAGTTGTTCAAGTTTTTAAAGAGCCATCAAATTGAAACAACAACTTGAATAAGAAGTGTGTCTATCCCGCTTCCGCTTCCGCTTCCGCTCACTGCAATTCAATCTCCCTTTCACTCTACCGCAGAATGCTGCACCGCCCGCACCGTCCGCACCGTCCGCACCGTCCGCATGCTGCCACAGCATCATTTTTGCGCAAAATGTTTTGAGAGACAGCATTTCGCTCTGTTTGTCCGTGTCTGTGTGCGTTGAGCGCAAGCAAACAACGCCGCTGCCGCTGCCACTGCCGCTGCTAACGTTGCCGTCGCTGTCGGCAGCGACTGCACTTTGTCAAATATTTAAACGGCAGAAAAAGTTGCACTTTCTAATGCATAATTGTTTAGCTGCAGTCACTGGCAACTGGCAAACTTGCAACTTGAGCAGCGGCAGGCAGCAGTGGCAGTTGAGCTAAATAATATAGCACGTTTTTTGGTGCCGACCCAGCTGAAAGAATTGCGCATGATATTGTGCGTGCTATGCGCCATGTATTTGTAATAGGTTCTCAAAAAGAAAACTAGATATGCATTGCTTTATATAATTGCAGGCGAAGATTTCTCGGCTTTGCTGGGGCCAAGTTTTTTATTTCCTCAAATTTTAGACATTTGACTATGCGAAAATATTTAATATAATATTATTATTATTATTATTATTAAAATGAGAATTCAGTATTCTACCTACTATTAGAACTTTTGCCACATATTTGTGCTTCATTTTCCACTAAGCATAAACGGACTCTTAGAAAAGTTCGTAATCCTTAGCATTATATTCTTGCACAGATGTGTGCAACCGTCTTTTAATAATTTTTTGTTCATTAATTTCACACATACGAGTGGAATTAGGACCAAAAAAGTTAGGCCATTATGAAAGTTCAGTTTCTTCAAATAATCTGTAAGTCGGGACAAACAGTTGGACTAATGTGGATATAACTTATATAGATGATTAATCAGCATTACTTTAAAGTGGATTTCATTTCCCGTTTATAAAGCAGGCATGCATAAATTAAGCAGCAAACATTTCGCAGACAGCTGATTCTTTGCATTACAAACTCAGCAAAAGTAATGGGCGAACTAAAGCGATTTCAGTTATTGCCCTACTTTTGGACTTATGAGCCAAAAGTTATTAACATGACAAAATTTCCTGCAGGGCTTTGCTAAACTGCACATATTTGTATACACACACACCAACACACACACACACACACACACACACACGTATATTTGTGTCTATCTGAGCGTGTGTGTGCACTCGTTCAGCATGTGTCCTTTAGCTGTCTTTATTTTCGCAATATTAAATTCATTAATATGCGAAATTGTCCCGCAGCAAATACAAACACAAATACCAAGAAGTAGGTGTGTGCGTGTGTGTGTGTGTGTGTGTGTGTATATGTGCTTGTATTTAGCCACAAGTCTGTTGCATAGAAGTGCTGCCCGAGCTGCTGATGAAGAGCTGGCACTTAACGGTACTTGTGTGCCTCAGCGCAACAGGCGAAGGCAAACAATTCTCAAGAATTTCCATGAATATGCAAGGCCCTCAAATAGTGCACGCAATATTAATAATAATAATAACAGTTATTATTATTATTATTATTGGTAACTGTGCCAATATTAAACATAAATAATGCATATTTATATTGTGCCTAATACACGCTCATTGCCTGATGCACCAACATACTTGTGGAGTAGAAGAAGCGCCGACAAATAGTTGGGTCTTAAACAACTATCTCCCTTTAAGCTGAGCTTTCCATATTTAAAATTAATGTACTTTAAATAATTACGGTGCAATGTGATGCAGGCAAGAACTAAGTATAAACAGTTGCCGATTAGCTCTAAAGGAGTTCAAGAGCCAGGCAACTAGACATTGTAAGCCATTGAAGTCAATTAACATAACAAACAGTCTTAAGTCCAATAAGAAGCTTTAATAATCAGATAAGATTCGTAGCAGCAAATGTTTGAAATTTAAATCATAGCCAGCGAGGTTATATGAGCTGAACCCATGATATTATTATAAGTAGATGGATGCTAGAATATACTCTAGAATCATATAACATATTGTTTACAGCAATGCAAGTCTTGAATAGGTTAAGACTTACAAGCGGCATGAAACACAGATACAAAAAAATAACATTTGATGACATTTGCCATAGACCCTGCAAAGGAAGATAGCTAGTTTCTACATTTAAAAAAATATGTACAAAATAGTAAGTGCAGAGAGTATCAGCTAGACATTAACTGTCAATTGTTTAATTGCCAGTCCACGTTTAGCCACTATCATTAGGGAAAGTGTGTGTGCAACTAACTAACTAACTAACTAGCTAACTATTAAATTAACTACTATCACAACAATTGAGACACTCATATTAATGTGGCTGATGATAAAGTTGATAAATACGAGCGCATAATGAAGCATTAAAAATTCTCCATAAACACCAAACAAATTGCCACAGTTATGTTGCAGTTAAACCAGCTAAGGGGGGTGCGGTGCTCTGTGGTGCATTGCGGTGTGGTGTGATGTGGTGTGCGGGGGCACTCGTTTGTCTGATGAAAAAGCGAGTGCTGAGCGCGACTATTAAACGAGTATAAAAAATGAGTGCGATTTGAATGCTTCTCATGCAAGTCAAGTGCATTGTGCGTGCAGTATTTGATAAATACAAAACAAAATATAAATAGAATACAACAAGAACATATATAAAGAATAACACGCATTGAACGTGTTTCTTTATGTTTAAACAAATTACATGTAACTTTTGTTATTTTGAGGTGCATTTTAATTCTTGCAGTGATTTTTTTTTTTTTTTGCATTATTGATGCCCATACCAAAGCGAAATTCCTTGCGTTTATTGCCCGTGCCGTTGCCCATGCCCCTGTTGGGATTTTTTGCGCTCATGCCCATGCCGGCATGCGAAGCTCTCACTCGCAATATGCGCGGCTGCGCCAAACGCTTCACGCGCGGCTGCAGCAAAGCTGCCGCTTCAGTTGATGCTGCTTTTTTTTTTTTTTTTTTGGTATTTGGGATTAGTTCGATGTAGGTATGAGTATGAATATATATATATAGATATATATATATATATATATAGATATATATTATGTTAGGTTTGGTATGAATAGATAGAGACAATGTATGACAGTTAAATGGGGAGTAACAGCGAGAGAGAGAGAGAGGGAGAGAGAAGGCACCGTTTTAGTATTAAATTGGTTCAGGCGCGCTCCAAAACTGTTAAGGGAGGGAAGGGGCGGGGGCGATTAGTTGGTATGTATATAGGCTTACAGCCGGAATCAAATGAATGATTTGTTCGATTCCACGTGGTTGAGTGGCAACGCACTTGACTTACTTTTCACACGCAGCCAGGTGTAGGCAGATTTCTCGCCCGCCTCATTGCTCGCCAGGCATTGGAACATGCCTTCATCCTCCAGCGTCAGTTTTTTAATTATCAACGTATTATCAGCTTTCAGCGTGTATCTGCAATATGATTAACATCTATTAGTTGGGAGCACAAAAAATAAAAGGAACTCTCGTTGAGATTACGAGCTCTACGTTTAATATGCTTAGGAAATAGCTTTGCTGGCATTTTTTAAACAATTTTTTCCGTTTGTTAAACTGCTTGTAAGCTATTCAGAATTCCAACTTAATATACTTTATTCAACATTTTTAATTCCAATATACTTTTAATATTTTAATGTTTAATGTTTTCAACACTAGCAGAAAGGAGTTGTAAAAGTCTGAAGTACAGTTTTCATCGTTCCATGATTTAAACAGTTGAGTTGCATTTGCCTGTGTTGCACAACACTTAACACTTTAAAGCTACTTTATTCGTGCTGTTAAACGCTTCCATAGAGTGTTGCTAAGCACTATCATCTGTTAATACGCTTAAGGTGCGCATTCTCACAAAGATTTGCAATACTAAGTTTTGACAATACTAATTTTTAACTCGATTTGTATACCCTCCTTTTGCTAGGCACTAGCAGATCAGGCACTAAAAGGCGACTTACAACACTTGACTCAACATATACTCTAATATATATGATAGTTAAGATTATTTCCACTTACCCGCCAGTTTGTAGGTGTGCCTCGATGGGTTCAGCGTTGCGAAACCATTGAACGTGGGGTGTGGGATCTCCGACCACATCGCAGGGCAACATCACCTGACCGCCAAAATCGCCAAAAGTCTCCGCACGCATGGCCGTAAAAAACATGGGCGGCTCTATGATCTGAACATGGGCGGTAGCCATGACCGTTTGATAGCCACCGCTGCGCAAACGGACCTGGCAGCTGTACTCGCCAGAATGCGAGCTATTGGCTTGCAGCAGGGCCAGGGTGCGATTCCATGGATCGTTCAGGGTGTGCGATATGCCGGCATTCTCAACGGGCTGGCCATCCTTAAGCCAGATGGTTTCCAGTTCGTGCAGTGGTCGTGCATTGGCAATGCATTGCAGCTCGGCCACGCCCTCGCCGCGCTTCAGTTTGAGATCTTGCGGCGGCACGATTATCTCGGGCGCCACCTCCACATAGGGATCACCAGTGACATTCAGATGGACAAACGCACTCATCTCTTCCTTGCCCAGCTGTGTGTTCATGGCACGTGCACGATACGCCTTCCGATCGCTCTCGTCGGCGCTCAAAACAATCAGCTGATTCGCCTGGGTGACGGCATATTTGATCTCATAGTTGAGTGGGCCCTCCTCCGTTTGCCAAATGACAGATGGCTTCGGCACCGAATCAATCGCTGGCATATCAAATATGGCCGGGTGACCGCTGACAACCGTTAAACGACCCTCGGTGATATTCTCGAAAATGCCCATATCTAAAAAAGATTGAAGAACAAATGGCAGAAAAGCTGAGTATGAAGATCGATATATGTGAGGAAAAATAAGCCAACTCGGTTTCGATATTCCAAAATATTCTTTCTTTGGGTCAAACTTTGTGCCACATAAAAAATAGAACTGAAACCCGATTACAAGCCAAAATTTGAATGTGAATGTGGAAAATCAGGTATACGAATCGAAGGCAGCTGGTTCAAACCCTTAACAAATTAGAATGCTTCTTATACCTTTTTTTCTTCTTTTTTTTTAACAGGCCCAATTAGGTTTTAATAGCACACAGTGACCTGAGATCTTTTACGCCTACCCACAACTCCGGGGCATATCGCCCCTCCTACCCCCCTCACCGATGTGCTCTTGTGTCACGCAAGCTAATTGAATCAAACAGCGAATCGGCCTGGCCTGCGGGCTGGCAATTTTGTTTAACCTCTTATCAAGGGGCACAGCACAGTAACAAACGCCTCCCCTCCCACTTGCGCACTCTTCTGTTGGGCTGTTGGACTCTAGTTGGCTGGGCTGCTGGTGCCACCCCCAAAAACCGTCTATATAGCAGCTATGAGCGAGCGAGCACTGAGCTCTAAAGGTTATTAGTTCAGTTTAAGCGCACTCTTACAATTAATTAAGTGCTCAAGACGCCGCTACAAGTCAAGTCAGCGCCGTCTTGGGCCACTCCTTTCGAGCACACGAGTTGTCGCCATCATCGCCATCATCATCAACATCATCATCATCATCATCAGCGAGGGCATCGTGATTATCAAGTAGCTCGTCAGCTTCTTGGTTGGTGTGCCCGAAAAGAAGGTCACCAGCTTGTCAAGAGCTCGATTTATTAGGTTCAAGTAGTTGGGTAATGTGTGCACACACACACACGCACGCACACAGATATGTATACATATGCCCACACTCCCATATGAACCACAGCTCAAGTGTCGCTCAGACTCTTTCTCGGTCTCCCACTGTGGGTGAGCGTGTTTCTCTGTGTGTGTGTTTGTCACACTTACTGCTCTCTAATTGAACGTTACTTGCTCTGTGACCCTATTGCCACAATGCTGGCTCTTGTTGTTGCTGTTGTTGTTGTAATTAAGTTCGCATTAAAGAAAAATTAGCAGCTATATATGTATGTACACAAGCCAAGTCAATATTGTTGTTGCCGCTGTGACAGGCTTTTGATTAGCAAACCTGCCCCCAATTGCCAGCTTGAAGTCCCTGTGCCACCCCCCACCCGCCAAGTTGAAAGTTGACACTTTTGCTGCACGTGACGACTCTTCAACCGGAGTCGGCTAAGGCCCTGAAGCTGCCCCTTGTCCATGATTGGATCCGATTACGGCGCAATCTGATTGCTCTTAAGTACTTTACCATTGCGAAAATGTATCTAAAATTAATTAACAGCTTCTAAATGATGTTGGCTTAATAAGCAATTAGTTTTCATTAGCTACAAATTGTTACAATAACAATACTGCTGTGGTTGCTTTTATCAACAAATATTGTTTCGGCACATTGCCAAGACTAGATTTTCAATCAAAATTCACAAATGATCTTTAACAAATTGTAGTATACTTTTGGGAGCGCAATGCTGAGTTTCTATTTCGTTTGTATTAAAATCATGTTGGTTTAAATCATCCACCAGAAAGTGCGTTTCATAACTAAGGAACACTGGAATAATACATTCGTTTGAATGAAACTGTGAAAGTAAAAAATTTCATTTTATTATATTTATGCATGTTCTTAGCTTTTTTCAGTTTTTTCCAGACTTAATCGTACGCTGGAGTTAAAAAGGAGGTGAAAATATTGGAGGAACACTGAAATGAAACATGCGCCTAAACAAAAGTTTGAAAGTAAGCAATTTCGATCCCATACTTTTATACAAATTCCTATTTGTATCTTAATGTTTGTCCAAACTTAATTGTACGTTGGAATGAAATATAGATAAAAATCTATATGCCAATCACCTATTAGCCACATTCACATGTCTGTTCTGTAAGTAAGCAGCACTGGAATTAAACCAATGGAACTAATCGGTTGGTTATGTGGCAAATATTTACAGAATTTCTAAGTAGTGCATTGAAGTGGGCTACGGCATAAGTTCGTGTACAAGTTTCAAGTCTTCTTGGGATTTTGAGTGCACCTCAGAAGTGTGGAAAATGTGTGCTGGAAATTTTATTAATGTATTCAAAAGTTCGTCTTCAGTTTAGATGCCTCTCAATGTTCATAGTTTTTCTTTTGGCTTTTAATGTAAATACTTTAAAAGTTTATCATTTACACAGAGCCATAATTTGCCCCTCATATAAGCAGGAATGCCCTTAATCACCCTGTGTGTTTTTGGTTTTTGGTCATTTTTTGTTTTCTGTCATTTGACGCCCACTCGTAATTATATATGAAAATGTCAAAATTTTTAATAAGCAGGCACGCTAGCATATTAGTTTGCCACAACATATAATTAATAGCTAGGTGTTTTCCTTTTGTCTAAGGATGCCATTCAAATGCAGCTGTTATGACATAACTATGAGCTTGGCCAATTGTTGCCTGTAGCTATTTATAAATATTCAATCGATTCAGCTGTGGTCATGTGTATTTGCATAATTGTGGAAACAGCGATAGGAGGGCTCTGCTAAATGCCAGCTTATCTAACTGATTTACCTAACGCTGCACAGGTCGGGTTTTTCCTATTTTTTTGTTCACAGAGTAAATAGCTAAACATGTATATGAATATATTTATTCGAGCTATAAATTGTGGTACAAAAACCTTTTGATGACAGTACCCATTGAAATTGAATGGAAAAGGATAGCAGAGCTTTGCACAGCAACAGGCATATCCGACCACATAAAACATATATGTATGTATGTACATATATACATAGAAACGATAAAACATACGTGAACATGTTGAAGCCAATTGAGAACATTGGAATAAAACTTTCACTGGAATCAGACGCGTTAGTTTAACATAGAATACTGCGTCTTGGATTTTAGCCAACTTTTACTTTGATCAAGACCTCAGTTATTAGTAGCCGGAATACAACATACGTAAATATCTTTAAGCCAATAAGAAACACTGGAATAAATTCTTATATCTCAGAGACTATAATAGACCTAAAGTTTGAGAAGAAAAAGTTGTTTCCAAATCATCAACATCTCAGTCCGTTTCTACACACTTAATATGTATCTATTCTCAGTTTATTTTCAGTTTTCATTCTTATTTAGTTTTCATTCTTATTTAGACTCAAATATATTTCACACCCTAAAAAATAAAGAAATAAACGCTATAGCTCTGTACGCACATTTGAATGCTAGATTGTACCCCAGCAAGTAGTCATAACGATCGGACTATAAACATCGATCATAGTGTGAGAGAAGAGTATAAATTAGCACGAGTGCGAGTGTGTGTGCAAAGATGGAAGAAGTTTCGTATTCAAGATGAGTATCTTTTAGTTGGTCAGCCAATTTAATTGTTCTATTATTAATGCCTTTATTGAGCGCCTTGAGCCTTAAGCCGCGGGCAAGATGATTTTCAATTAACGGCATTTGAAGCCCTTGAGCCCATGAATTGGCGACATCAAAAGCGACAAAGCCATTGGTCGAGCGGCTTACAATGCGTTGTTTGTGTGTGTGTGGGAGTGCATATGGGAATTAGGTCCGAAATATGCCAATGTATAATACAGAGATAGTTAGTTACAATAATTTTCACACATAGTGACCAGCCGGCTAATTAAAATGGCTTAGCGCTTAGGCTTAGGCTTAGCGAAGATGGATCTTTGCTTTGGGAAACAAAGACATACAATAACTGGCCACATAATATAACCCGAAAGAAGCAACTAATGTAAATACAAATAGGAACTCACACCCACAACCCGCACACCCAGTTCTGGGCGTGCGTGTGTGTATGTGTGGGTATGTGTGTACTTACAGGCAACAACAACGTCGCTTTTTTCACTGAAAATCGAACCAGCCTCGTTCCTGGCAATGCACTGGTAGCTGCCGGCATCCTCGCGCTTGGTGATGTGAATGCGATAAAATTGACTGGATGAATAATCGGCAACGGGTATGCCATCCTTGAGCCATCGATATGTGGGCTGTGGCGAACCTGTGAACAAAGTTCAAGCAAAGCGCATAAGTAAATTTATGTAAGTGCTTGTACATGTGCGTGTGTGTGTGTGTGTGTGTGTGTATGTGAGGAGAAGTGCTGCTGCAGGAGCTGCTGCTAGGAGCAGCTGCAGGCGCCGTAGTCGAAGCTACAGTTGGGGGCAACATAGATAGTTGCCACAGCATGTGGCAAGCGGGCGGGGCCATGTGGCATCAGCAGCAATTCGCGTTCGTATTGTTGCATAATGAACATGTTTTTCAAACCCATATCTTTCCGACTTCTGCTTCTTTTTTTTTTTTTTTTTTCTTTTTTTTTTGCGATTAAATCTTATGCTGGCCACGCCCGGCGCAAAAGAGGATATTACTTATAGTTTTCGCTCAGTGTGTGCGTGCTTCTGTGTGTGTGTGTGTGTGTGTGTGTGTCAACTCGTTGACTATTTGTTTGAGCTTCCGTTGCCTATCGAGAGACCCGCAGCAGCAGCAGGAGCAGCATGTTGCAAGGCTGCAAGCAACGGCCACGGGCTGGAACATGTCCGTACGGACCACACTCTCCAGCAACTCGATTTGGCACACAATTTAGCCAAATGCGATCGGAGCCGGCAGCTAAATAAACGACTTTTACTGTATTGTTGCAGCGACATTTTTGATACCGATTTGCCGACGAGCATTTAATTTAAAGTTGATTTATATGCGGCAAAGTGTTGCAAAGTTCCTGTTGCTCGCTACGGAATGAAATTCCAATTGCAATTGCAATTTCTAAACAAAAATTGCATGTGGCCGTTGGCTGTGTGTTGGCTTCATCAGTTGGTTCAACAGTTGCCAGTTGCCATTTGCCATTTGCCAGTTGCCCGCTGCCCGCTTGATGATGCCAGCTAAATCAAGCTTTAAATAAAATATTCGCTTCAACTTTAACTATAATATGCTCATTCCACAGCCAAACTGACTGATACCTAAACGCAAAATGTCGGCTGCCTCACGGCATGCAACAGGATGAGTCCAGTTGCTCTGCCAGCTGCAACTACAAGTGCTGCTGCTGCTGCTGCTGCTGCTGTTGCTGCTCTTTTAAACAGCCAAAAGTCGTTAGGCAATGGAACAGGCTCTGCATTTAGTTCCGATTCGAAATCAGACGAACAGGCCGCAGGCCACACATTTTAGAGAGCCAAGCGCGAAGCAAACACAAGTTTAGCAAGTAATCCGATAGATTATGTAAAACACGCCGATCAACGACTTGCTAATGCCCTTTAAACAGGCGTGCTGAGTGCATTAAAAATAAATTAAAAACTTTTTATTTGAGCTATTTGTGCAACACAGAAACCATTTCTAGCAACTTTTCAACTTTATCAAACATATTTGGTGTTTAATTAAAGCACATTTCAAACTGATTTCGGATATATAAACACATGTATATATATATATATATATACTTTATATACATATACACATGTATATATATATATATATATATTTATTTTATATACATTTTTTATTATACCTTAAGCTAGTACGCGCTTAATTGTTGTTGTAGCTGTTCTAATTGTGGTTCTGGACTCTTTCTTCAGTATATCATAATCTTTACAATATAATTTTCTTAAAAATTGATAGTTTATTGAATCGCTTCTTAAGTCTTTTTAAGAAGTTTGCCACGGCAACTTTTACCTTCGCCTGGCCACAAGCACAAACATGTTGTCTTGGGCATGTTTCGAGTGACACTTCAATTTGTCAGACTCTTGTTTTATATATAATATTGAGTGAAAATAATTAGTAGGCCTCCAAATACCCTCCCTGACATGTTTTAGCCCAAAATTGCTGCCTGATTTGAGGCAAAACAAATAAAAATAGAAATAATAATATTAGTAACAGTTTATAGTGCATTACACGATTCTGCATCTATATTATACATTTTTTGAAATTCATGTCACAATTATGTTCCAAAATCATTTTCAATTTCGCCTTCTTAATGGTAAGATTTACAATCTCATAGACTTTTCCCACTACAATTGCGTTTTTAGCCACATTAAAAGAAAGCAAGTTTCAACATCAGATATTCATAAACATAAAAGTCTAAATTCGACAAACATCTATCATTTCAAATAACGGTAAGTTGCAACACATGTTTTGCTCATAGCGTTGCCAGATGGATAAAAGCATAAGAATAAATCGTGTAAAAAACTAAGTGTGCCAGAAAAATGTAACTTTTTTTTATTTAAATAATTTAATAAAATTACTATTATGTTTTTGTTACAAAACTAACTGATTTTTTTAGGTAATTTACTAGTTAATACCGGCAAATCAACTTGGATGGATATTTGTTACTAGAGACGGACGCAAAATGGGTGCAAAGTAGATACTTGCTGTGCCAATACTTTTGTGAGTGACTGTTAGTTAGTTTCTCCTACTGAAACTAGCTAATGTTCTTGAATTTTATTTATTGATAATCTGAATATATTTGAATTAAATTAAATTTTCTTAATCCTTTCTTGTGATATATCATATAAATATAAAAATAAAAATCTAGATAAGTATAATGAAAATTCTATAAATATTTTTCGCTGGTTTTAAAGAATTTCCATGATTAAATCATTATTTGGCTTTATTTAGTTTATTGAAAACAATTTTGATTTAATCTATATTTTTGCGATAGATTTCCACGTATTATCTATTATTATATTTATTAAGTCCCGCTTGATCATTGTGAAAATTCTTGAAAACTTTAGAGATCTGGAGGCAATATATAGATATATGTTATTAAAAGAGAAATCGAAATCGATCACTATGAAGTAATATGTGGAGCTTCCTTATTTTATAGAAGGATGTAGGCGCGCTTGCTTTAAAGAATGGGAGTGAGTTGTTCAGTTATGCACTAACTTTGCGATCTGAATTTATTTGAATGCTATTCCACATATTTATAATATGTTATTTAATAAATTTTTACTTTGGAGTTTTGCCTCAGCACGTCTTTAGTCTAGATGGTGAACTATCATCGACGAAAAAGAGTTCGACAAAACTCGCAAAATTTGTTTAAAATTTATTGCTCAACTTTGGACAAAAGAATGTTAGCAACATCAGCACGGACAGGTCAATTGCGGCTCAGATTGTCAATTTTAAAGAAATGTATCGCGGCTTGTGAAATGCGACAAAAGTCGGCTTTTTACATATTTAATACATTGAGAATATTAGCTATCTATTTTTAAGATTTAAAAATTTCTCAGAGCATGCTAAAGTTTAGTATTTACAAACATGCCAACCTTTGTTGTCTCAAAATGTTAGCAGCTGTTAATATTGCACAAAAATCAATATATACTCAGCCAAGACTATATTACAGGGTATAAAAGTTAAAAGCAGTAGCAGCAGAAAAAGAGAGGGAGAGAGAGAGAGAGCAATAGAGATATATAGAGAAAACGTGGCCAATGGCAATGCAATTGCATTTTGTTGGCAGCAGACTAAATCGAATTGGGCAGAGACAGCCAAAGCTGAAATGCTAGACGTAAAAGAGCCAAAAACAGTGTAGTCCGTAAGAGTCGAGCCAGTGCCAAAAATAAGAAAAAAAAAACGAGAAATAATAATAAAGGAAAAGTAAAACGCAGAAGGGGGAGAAAGCAAAAAGGGAAAAGGCTCCTTCAAGTGTTGGCCGGCATAAAAAGTTGGCCGGCAAGCGCTGGCCAAAGTCTATTTGGGCATTTGGGCAATGACGCTGCTATAAAATTACAATTTGGGGAATTCTAAGGCAAATATACACACAGCACAAATGCAGCACATACACATACACACACCCAGGCACACACACGTACGCACACAGGCGCACTTAGTGCTCGCTTTGGTCAACAGCAGGAGCAGCAAAAGGCTCAATGAAAAAGAAGCAGCAGCCGGACTCAGACGCAAAAGTAAATGCACAGAGCAAAACAAAAAGAAAAAAAAAAGAAATAGCATTCTCCAGCGATGTGTTAGCGTTAAATCGAAGTGAAAGCCCCAATAAGCAGAGCAGCCAACAACACACATACATGCACACACACACACACACACACACACACACACAATCAAAAATACACGCACACCCAGTGAGTGGCCTAGGAGCCCAGTTCGTATCCCCTGACTTGTCGCTGCAGGGTCCACTCAAACATACAGAAGTGTGCCAGTGTGTGTGTGTGTGTGTGTGTGGCACAAATGAGTTTTTAATAACTAAACTGACAAATCCTTTAAGCCTAAGCCATTCCTAAGTCAAAGTCCGGAGTGTGAGCAAAATCAACGATTGAAACGTATTGTAACTCGTTTCATTTTCAGGCACCTTTGGGAAGTGGCAAATTGAACCACATACATTAATGCGTGCGATTATCAGGATAATTCATGCATTTTGTGCACGACCATTTCGTTATTTCATTCTATTAAAATCAAGTTCCAAATTTTTCTAACGGGCAGAAAAAGGAGAAGCTTAGAGCTCATTGCTTGGATAAAATAAATTTTTATTATTAGACATAACCATTTTCGCTTGGCTCTATGCATTGTAAGGAACAAGTTTGTTTTTGATAATTTATTTATATAGTATTAAAGCTCGCTACGATTCATTTCAACTCTTTTACAATAATTCGTTGAAGCGTATTGTGCAAATTTTATGCCCAGTTTCGAAGGGGCAGGCCAGTTAGGTGACTCTCTCTCTCTCTCTCTCTCTTCCTCACTCACTCAGTTTGGCAAAGGCTGTAAATGAAATTCGTTTTCGCACTCAGTGACTCAATCGCTCAATCAATCAATCGTTCAATCAGTCAATGTCTAAGCAAGCAACTGCATATAAAAAAATTCAATAAACTGGCGACGCCACGCAACAAATTGCATTTGCACGCTTCTATCTACTGCATGTGCTCCGTGTGTGCGTAGTTAATGTGTGTAATGGTGTACGTGTGAGTGTGTGTGTGTGTGTGTGTGTACACCTCATCCTGTTTAGCTGTTGCTGCTATTACTCAGTACTTGGCTCGCACAAATGGCGGAAATTGTTTGATTTGTGGCTGCCTT